ATGTTTGAATATATGCATACCTACGTATGGACGTGTGACGTCTGAATGGGATTTGGTACCGGGATAAATTATCGTCTGAAGTAACACAGGATATTTTTTTCCAGAAATACGGACAAAGCCTGGCAAAATGTAGTATTGTATGTAGAGATATAATCACTTTCTTTAAATAAAATTAACAAAAGACATTTTTATTCTCTCGTTTAAACTAACGAGATCGTAGTTAGAGAACTTTTGAAGCCGTGTATTGATAACTTACAGCTAGAACAGAAGTTATCTTAACTTACGAACTAACATTTTTGTATTTTTCTTTTCTTTAATGACACTAATTGTTATTGTTTCTATATCTTATTTAAGTGTGGGAGAGCCATGCTTAAGCAGGAATGGGTCGGCTCGACCGGAGTGATACCACGGCCTCACAGAAAACCGGCGTGAAACAACCACAGTGTTGTGTTTCGCCGTGTGAGTGAGGTTACCGGAGGCCCAATCCTTTCCCTCCCCCAATCCCTCCTCAATCCCTAAATCTCCAAATCCCTAATCCCTAAAAGGTCGGTAACGCACTCGCAACTCCTCCGTTCCGGGTTTCCATGGGCGGCGCTGATTGCTTACCATCAGGTAATCTGTCTGCTCGTTTGCCAACCTGTCAAACATGTCGTGTTCATTTTGAGGAGTTGAGAAATTTTCTCCATTATCTCCAAACTTTACATCGATAAAGGCACCAGAATTAAGCGCTTGATAGTAGTTCTTATTATACGCGGAAATTGATTTGAAATCTCGAAATATTTTGTCAGAATAAATTTTGTTTTGAAAAATTACTAGGATTTTCTTCTGTACTGTGGGTACAACTATTTGTGGATTACACAAAGTTACACGTTCTGTGTGAGAATCGAACCCGAAACTGTGTAGTAAATAAAAACATCTAGTTAACATTCATACATTATTTGTTGTCAATCGCGGAATTGTACCCTCTGAGGTTACTCCTTGATAAGAGTGTATGTATGCGTAACAAACTTGTGAGGTGAGGGTCTAGCACTCTGAGGCCATATCTTCGATGTAAGGCAAGGAAATGATACTCTCTGTCGAAGCCATTCATAAAATGGTTAAAAAAGTATGCTTAAAACGTTTGCGAAAATCAGGTTGAAAATTCCAGTAATGGAAATTAAATTACAACTTTTATTTTCTTCATAAAAAGTTGTTCTAAAATTGTATAATGTTGAAGTTTTTATTACACTAATGTAATAAAGTTTTTTAAGTAACTTAGGATCTTTGAACTCTCGATAAAAAATAAGATAAGTAGCCGTTGTGTGGTCTGGTCTCTTGTGCAATTTTTTGTGGCAATTTCCTTATTTATATTATATCAGTGCAAGCATATTATAAGCGAAATAAAAACTTAACACAAGTATGTAAGGATTTTTTTGCGATATGTAATGTATACTAAGTTGCTTTTGTACAGCTGTCCGTTTTTTTGGTTCTATTGCGAAAAGTGATTGTGTGTTTTGTGCACTTCATCCGCTAAACAACTGGGCTAATTGTGATGAAATTTGACACGGATATAGAGCGATGACAGGGAATGAATTGAGTGTCAGTGTAAACGAAATAAATGAGAATAGTTAACTATGTAAGTAGTATATAAATATTTTGGCGTTTTTTTTTGCATCCGCTATCTACATTGGCTGCGTCACCTCGTCGTCCACATCATGTTATAAGCCTGTTCCAATAAGGTAAAGTGAAGGATTATTTAGAAACAAGTTCTTTAGCCAATTAACAGGTTACAACTAGCAGACACTATTTAGCTAAATGACCTTGAGCGGTTAAAAATTTGGCTTTAATTACTTAAAGTTAAGATGGCTGTCGCATCCGCGTTTGTTTATTTTTTGCGATTACTGTTTAATTGAAAAAAAGCTTTAATAAAACTAATCTAGAAAGGAACCTTGTGCAAGCCCTTTCTTCGAAAGCTACTGAACTTATTTCGATAAACTTTGCCAAGGAGATAGTGTCATTTCTTAGGTAAGTAATGATTAATTATAACAGTTTTTATCTCAGCAACTGATGTTATTACGAGGGCAACACAACGAGCCGAATTAACCTAATTCCGTGAGCAACATTCAGTAATTTTATATATTAGTTTTTAAGTTGTTTAGTCCGAAACTTGTTATAAAGCGACGCCGATCTAGTTGGGGGAGTTATCCTACTAATTTGTAATTACTTTACGCTTTTGGCATAGTAATTTTGTGGCCGATTTTTTGGGTTAATTTGGCGTTTGAATAAGTACTCTGTGAATAGTGAGTGTAGCTTCAGTTTTGATAAATATTATTAAGTTTTGAGGTCATTTTGATGTAGGAAGCGCAAATTGTAGTATAGGTTTCGTGATTTTATTATAATATGATTTTAGGATTGACCTCGATGTTTGCTTATAGCTTATTATATTAGTTTATTTGGTGAGAAATTGGGTATCCCATGCCTTTTTTATTAACCAAGTGCGAAATATGTTTTAAGGGCGTTTCTGTTTGTCTAACACATCATGAAGTAACGTTTAATGCTCTTGTGATTTGATTGATTTAGTCGTGGGTGAGACAAGAGAGAGTGTTAGACTCTTACTGACTAAAACACCCCGGTCCTTCTCCTGCTCCCAGTCAACATCAGTCCTGTTAGGCCCTTTCTGTATTGGTGTATTGGCTCAGTGAGGCCTTGGGCTTGCTGGTGCTCTCTTGGAAGGTAACGTCCCTAACGCAGATGCCATATAGCTAGAGAATGAGCAAAATATCGAATTGTGTGTACCTTCTATCCAGGAATATACCAAGGTAAGATGCGTCAGTAATAACGCCAAATTAAAGGATTTCTTGGAAAGACTTGTTTATACAACTTTTTAATTCTATTAATAGGCATTATTACTTGTGATTTCGTTTATATGGAACCTTGATTATTATTTCTTTGATTTAGTAAAGGTTTACTTTTTATGTGTGTGAGTCACCTGATCGCAAGCAATCAGGGCTCTCAGAGGAGTTGTTCACGGGTTGTGGTTGCTGGGGTTAGCGACTTGAGGATTATGGTTATTTTAGGGATTAGAAAAGACAGTCCTCACTTGGTATTCCCTTTTTTTTTGTCAGGGGAAAATCATCCAATGACTTCTCCCGCCCAGAACCGGGCGGGAGGGAGTGTCAGACTCTTACTGACTAATAACCCCCCCGTTCCTTCTCCTGCTCTGTGCCGAGGTCGCGGTGCCTCATTGCGCTTACCCCGCAACCTCGGCACTTTGAACGACCCTGCAAGTATGTCTCTGCCATACTTTATTGAGTTATAAATGGTAGGTACTAAGTAAGTATACTTTAAAATTTTGCGCCACCGACTTTCAACAATACTATTTTAACGTAAGACGTTTATTTTATTTATAGATAAGAGTGAGAAAAAGTGTGCCTGTGTGTTATTCATGACTTTTTTTAATAAATAATCGTAAATGTAATAGACATATCTACGTATGTATGGTAAATAAGTAATTATGTAAGTAATAATGTGTTTCAGTAATTTAAATTAAAATGTTGAATGGTTATTAAATACTTATCAGCGTAACATAGAGCTACATTGTACCTACTTATTCTTAATATAACTTGCGATTATAATAAATATTCAGAAAACGTATTTTTAATGATAACAATAGAATTGTTTTCCTTATTTAAACCTTTTTTTTAGATAACCAACGCTCATATTTTCGTGGTTGTCTTAGAATTCACTTAGTATACATTGACAGCGATTCATCCCAAGTACTATCTCCAAATAATCTGCCAGACGTGGTGATACCCTAATGTAGGTACGTAGAGAAGAATCTAAATTCAGCAGCAGGTTATATTTTTGTGATGATGATGAATACAAAAATATTTTATATAAAATAATAACAAAGCTATTTAAAATCTTGAGATGGCTGACCGAAGGTATAGGCGCCCGCTTCTCATGAATTCTCTCGCGGTTTCGAGACCTGGCAACTCATTTTTCGAGTTATATGTACTTTCTATGATTATTTAGACACTAATAACCTATGTTAGTAGTGTCCATAACTATTTATGGTGAAGGAAATCATCTTGTGGAAACCTGGCTTTATAATTTCTAATTATAAGTTTGAAATCGCCAATTCGTGTTGAGCGACCATTGTTAATGAATGTTCAAACCTTCTCTATATGAGAAGAGGCCTTTGCTCAGTAGTAAGCAGCTAGCTTAATTCAGCAGCTGGTTCTATTTTGATGATGATACATTCTCATATCTGGTTCTGATATTAGGTACAGACATAGTTTGGAACTCGAGAAAGGACATAGGATAGATTTTCTATCAAAAATCTGCAGGAAGTCACTATTCCAAACGAATGAAGTCACGAGCAAAACATCTAGTGTTTTATTAAAAAATAAAAAGAGAGCCATTTAAACAATTAAATTGTTTACATCTATGAATATTGTTTCCGTCTGTATGTTGTGTTTATTGATTATTAATTGGTCCAGTCATTATCTTAGCTTGTGTGGTCAATAACAATAGTATAAATAGAATTAAATTGAGATTAACCTTATTTTGTAGGTTTCTTGTAGGTTGAGTTCATTTGTTTATTTTTTAATGGAAAAAGGTGGCAATCAGATTGATCTTCTGATGGTAAGCAATAGTCAGTATATGCTTACATCAGTTCCAAGTATTTAAGGAAGGTTATTTTTTTTATCTTCAGATACTTTCTGGTTTATGTTGTTTAATGAAACGGAATTTCTATTAGATTTAGCTTATTACTTGTTTGGTAATGCTAAGAAATGAAAATTTTGAATGTTAAAAATTATCAAGAAAAACTACACGGACGTATAGAGACAGGTCGTTAGTTGTAATAAATCTTATATATTATGTATTTATAAAAGTTTTTTCAATTATTTTCATAGCCTATTTCTTTAAATTTGGGTTGCTTTTTTATTTATGTCAATGGCTCTAGAATTTGAAAATATTATGTAGTGTACTGTATGTATTTAAGATTATGTACTAACCTGTCAATAATCCCTGCATCTTTAGTAACGTCAGTTTTGACTACAACACCATTCATCATCACATCACTTTTAAATAAAATCTCACTTTAAAGGCACTTTTTCACTTAAATTTTCAAACAAAAAACAACTTTGTTTTGTTTAAAATAAAACAATGTTTAAGTAATAAAGTTTGTAAAGTTCGCGTGAGTTAAATGGACGCGTGTTCGACGTCCGTGCTGGACCAAAGTTTGATGCGAACTGTGTCTCCGACCGGTGAACGCGTGGAGCTCACGCATAGAGTAAAATATACAGAAGAGACGCGACAGATGTGTTTTTTTAAACGTAGTACTGTGCCTATGCACTGACAAGTACGTTTGCGATTATGTGTTAAAAACGGTGCTGTATACAAATATTATCACCTGTGTCGAAAGTCGTTGCGGGATATAAACCCGCCATACGTTGCACTGCAGTCAGATATCCAGCCACTAGGCCAACTGTGAGGTCAATTAATAGGCGTATAACGTTTTTTTATGATAATGCAAGTATTTATAGAGATCAACAGTATAGTATAGTAGACATTATATTTTTATAATTTTAATGTTTCTATAATAAGGTTTATAGTGTAAAGGTGGTTATAAAACTGATATTTTTTTGTGTACATTTTATGTACATTAATTGTTCTACATATGTTTGTGTTCATGCTTATAGGAAACAGACACTGAGGTTTAGTTAGTAACAAGCAATTTAAGGAAAATAAAATGTTTATACTTGTTATTATTTATATAAATATGTAGAATTAAAAGCCTTATCATTTATTTACCTCATTGAATAGAATTTAATAATGAAACAATATTGTATGTGTTCTAATAATAGGCACAAAGATAAATTATTATTGTCCTTACTATTTCCGTTGTCATCAATCATTGTGTATCCTCATATAATATTGCTTTGCAATCAAATATAATACCTCATAACTTGATGGATTTGAATGTCTCGTTGGTAACCGAAGTATTTTTTTTTTATGTAATTGATCGGCAAACGAGCAGACGGATTACCTGATGGTAAGCAATCAGCGCCGCCCATGGACACCCGCAACGGAGGAGTTACGAGTGCGTTGCCGACCTTTTAGGGATTAGGGATTTGGAGATTTAGGGATTGAGGAGGGATTGGGGGCGGGGAAGGATTGGGCCTTCGGTAACTTCACTTATAAGGCGAAACACAACGCTGTGGTTGTTTCACGCCGGTCTTCTGTGAGGCCGTGGTATCACTCCGGTCGAGCCGACCCATTCGTGCCGAAGTATGACTCTCCCACAGTTAATTATTGTCATTACTAGCATGTATTTAAATTATGAGCAAACAAAAAAATATTTAATAAAAAATAATACTTGATCCAATTTGTTAACAGGACAAGACTGCTTAATGTATATTATCTAAGTATTAAATATTTTATTTCATTAGTAAAACGTACAGTGTATCAATATAGAGAAGAGATAGATATGAGAGACTGAGTACTATTAACATGTTGCCACATATAAACATCTAGGAAGCTTGTTATCAATTTTAGTGATAATATGAGACATGATGTCGTGGTGGCCCTGAGGTTAAGGAGCCCGCTTCTCATGCATGAGGGTGCGGGTTCGAAACCTGGCAAGTACCAATGAGGCTTTAGCCGAGTTACTATATGTACTTTTTATGATTATCCAGACACTACTGACATACGGTGAAGGTAAACATCGTGAGGAAACTTGGACTTGTAATTATAAGTTTGAAATCGCCAACCTGCATTGTGCAAGCGTGGTGATTAAAGCTCTGCTAATCTTCTCTGTGTGAGAAGAAGAAGCCTCAGCAGTGGGCATTTATAGGCTGATGATGATGATGATAAAACATGAAAATACCTAACGATTTACCTCAATATTTTATAATGATATTTCTGCCTAACAGTCGTCTCTGCGCTCTAGATCAAGTTGGTGTATGACGGCGGCGACCAGTTGCTCGAGTAGAGCAAGTTGCGCGCGCTCTCCGTTCACGCTACAACACGACCATTCATGCCGCCATTGAGATGTGTACACACTTTCTCGTCAGGTGGGAACTGCCGTCTGTCGGTATTTAGATTAACAGTCAAAAGTTTCCAATTGAGTCATTGATTTATATATTATATTGCTCTGAAAGACACTGTCCAAGAAAAGAAACACACATCACATCATAACATTATTAGTCTACAAGTGCCTATTGATGAGGCTTCCTCTTCTCACACGGAGAAAGTTTGAGCATTAATCACCACGCTTGCTCAAGGCGGATTGGCGATTTCAAATTTGTAATTCGAAGTTATAGGTAATTCCAAGTTTACTCACGATATTTTCCTTCGCCATATGTCAGTGGTATCTAAATGATCATAGAAAGTAGAACCATATAACTAGGAAGAATTGTCAGGGTTCGAACTTGCACCATCAAGCACGAGAGGTGCCTTACCATCTGAGCAACCACAACGTTCTTACGACTCGAACGTTTATAAAAAATACACACTTTCATTCATTGCTAATACATGATATCATTGATATTATGTAAATATGTTTCTGATTGGTTCAAGAAATAAGCAGGTACGATATATGACCCAAATATGCATGACGTCACAATCACTACATAGTATAAAACAAAGTCGCTTTTTCTGTCCTTATGTCCCTATGTATGCTTAAATCTTTAAAACTACGCAACGGATTTTGATGCTGTTTTCTTATATAGATAGAGTGATTCAAGAGGAAGGTTTATATACTTAGTCGGGTCATAAGTTCTGTCAAAACCTTATATTTTTAATTTTCGATTACTGGCCAGAAATTCTTCGACTTATTTTAAAAATAGAACTTTCGCGCTTGTAGAAAATAAAAAAGAAATTATTTTTTATTCATTTTTAAATATGGAGTGGTCGAATAAAGAAGACAGAATCGCGGTTATCGCGTTGCACCGCTGTGGTTACGCGCCAAAAGACATTTTCAATATTCTTCAAAATTTGAAAATAACGTTACGGTTTGTTTATCGTACTATCAAACGATACACCGAAGAGTCAAGCTTCGAAGATCGTAAGAGAAGCGGCCGACCTCGCACAGTTCGGACACATAAGGTCATCAAAGCAGTGAAGGCGCGAATCGAACGAAATCCCGTACGTAAACAAAAAATCCTAGCTCTGCAGATGGGGCTAAGCAGAACCACTGTTAAAAGAGTACTAAATGAAGACCTGGGACTACGAGCTTATCGTAAAAAGACAGGACATTTTTTGAACGAGCGTTTAAAAAAAATTAGGCTAGACAGATCCCGCGCTTTGCTACGACGGTACGCGGGAAAAAAATACCGCGAAATTCTTTTTTCGGATGAAAAAATTTTTACTATTGAAGAAAGTTTTAACAAACAAAATGATAAGGTGTATGCCCACAGCAGTGAAGAAGCAAGCGCGCGTATTGCGAGGGTCCAGCGTGGGCATTACCCTTCCTCATTCATGGTTTGGCTTGGAGTCTCATATTCAGGCGTAACTGAGGTGTTTTTCTGTGAAAAAGGTGTGAGAACTAGTGCCGAAGTTTATCAAAATACTGTCCTAACAAACATAGTGGAACCTCTTTCTCAGACAATGTTCAGGAACAGGCATTGGATATTCCAACAGGACTCTGCACCGGCTCATAAGGCACGAAGTACGCAAGACTGGTTGATCGCTCGTGGAATTGACTTCATCCGGCATGAAGACTGGCCCTCTTCTAGTCCAGATTTAAACCCACTGGACTACAAGATATGGCAATATTTGGAGGAAAAAGTCTGTGCTAAACCTCACCCGAATTTGGAGTCTCTCCGAGCATCTCTGGTTAAAGCAGCGGCAGACATAGATATGAATGTGGTGCGTGCAGCGATCGATGACTGGCCGCGTAGATTAAGGGCATGTGTTCAAAATGGGGGAGGGCATTTCGAATAATGTAAATAAAATTATATTGTACATTTAATGACCTTTCATTTCATATATAATTTTTAAATAATTGTCAAAAGGCGTATAAGTTATTACATCAAAAGTTTGTGACAGAACTTATGACCCGACTAAGTATATAGTAATATCAATTAAATAGTGGAGAAGTACTGTTATTTTTGAGATTTCTAATGTGATGTCGCAAATAATTACATTTTTTCCGCTTACATTGCAAACGCAGGCTGAACCCTACGAGTTTAAAACGTTAACGTTTAACTTTTCAGAATTATTTGGGCAGAAAGATGTAATTTTGTTTTAACTTAATATATTATATTAAGTACTGGTTTACATTGTAACACAGAATAGTAGTAGTTTTAATCGTGAATAGGAATTAAGTAAACGCACTAAAAAAGTAAAGTCGTGACTTTGTAATGTTATGACGCATCATAAGTGCTAGTTCGTGATGAGAAAGTCAGAGATACGGATACTTGATTATATTTGTTATTTTTTTTATTTATTTGGCTCACCAGCAATTGAGTTTCTACACTCAAACAATTATGGATTTCAATGAATCAATTAGGGTGTAGTGTATCAATCTCTTACAGGTAAGCACACCATGCAATATAAATATAGGTAATAAAGTTATTTGTCATTCTACGGGCTCCGGTACAAACGAAAAACCTAACCCTATTACTAAGATCCCGTTGTTCATCCTGTCTGTCTGTCTCCGAGATACCATGTATATATAGGTATAAATAATAATAAGTTTATTTATTCAGATTACTGAGATCCATTATGAATTAAATTAAAAACAAATTTAATATGCAGTAAGTCCTATGTACTAATTTCCACATTATGGGACAATCAAGCTTATCAGCTATAGCACTCAGGATAGTGTGGCGACTTCCACGCAGCTGTCTGATGAAAGACACCTTTTGCGCCTAACGCAGTGAAGCTATCAGTATGAACATCAGCAAACATTCCTGATGCATTACAGAAACGCATTGTTGTACTGGACCCGCAGAGCATTGGCAGCCTTCTGGGTGTAGTTGAAGTCTGTGACTTCCCGTGTACAGCGAGGTGCAATACGCCTTGAACAAAGTTATTTTGCTAGTATCCATGCCCAAGTAGCACAGAAGCGCTGAATAGTAGCTGAATCACTGTTCACAATGGAATTTTAAGCTGAATAAACCTGCTGAATAATAGCGTTAGAGGCGCCTACTCAGGTGATATAACTCTGATTTGGGCACAAATTAATCAGCTGTTAGCTGAATAATGTAGCTGGTTGCACTATATCAGCGTTATTTGAGC